CTTCGTGGTCCTAGGACAGACACAGAGGATGTGTCTCACAGTTAGTTTGATATTGCATTGTTGGTAAGTTGGTTCTTCTTCCTTTTTAAGCAGGTAGTCGTGGGTAAGTCTTGTATGTCCGGTTTTCAGTCTTGTTAATATTGTCTCTTCTCTTCTAGTGATATTGCTTTGGGATTCTGGGGGTGTGTGTTTCGGTTTGTAGTAATTTTTTGTGTTCGCTGTTTCTTCCCATTCCAAATTCCATGCTTTGGTGATACGGTTTTTAATTATATGTTTGGCGTCGGTCCTTGTGGTGTATGTCGTGCTTGTATCTTTCCTGGATGTGGCCTCTTTTGCTTGTTGGTCTGCTCTGTCGTTGCCTTCGATGTTGATATGTGATGGAATCCATAGAAAGTCGGTTTCTTTGCTTTGTGATTTGAGTGTTTTCCAGGTGGTGTGTATTTCATATATTATATATATTATATATATTCATGTTGTGGGTACATGTTGTTTAATCCCTGTAATGCGCTGAGCGAGTCCGTTACTATTAAAAATTTATCGTACACGTTTCTCGATATATATCCGAGTGCTTCCTTGATGGAATATAGTTCGGCACTGTACACACTTGGCGCATCTGGTAATTTGTATTGGTAGGAATTGTCTTCGTGTATAAACGCGCATCCAACAAGATTTTTAATTTTTGAACCATCCGTATATATTATTTGTCTGTCATTATGTCTATTAAGGATTTCTAAGAAGAGGTTTTTATAGATTGCTGGATTTGTAGAATTTTTTGGGTGGTTGGTTAGTTCAACGTTCGGCTTTATAAGAGGAGTTGCCCAGGGTTGCTTGATTTGGGGAGTATTCGGTAGTTTAACTTGTATTTCAAGGGATCTTAATAGCTTTTGGCCTCTTACTACTAATATTCTTTTTGACCTAGCGAACAGATTTTGAAATTCCGGTTGTAAAGTGACTTTTTGGTTCGGATGGTTTGGTCTACCCATGACTTGTACCGTGTAGCAGAGTAGTTGTTTAGAGAGCCTTGCTTTTAGGGGTAGTTCACTCGTTATTGCATAGAGGCTATCTACTGGTGTTGTGCGATGTGCTCCTGTAGCTAAGCGGAGTCCATGATGATAAATAGCATATAAGGATTTCAGAATGCTGCTGTTGGTTCCTCCGTAGATGCATAGGCAATATTCTATTTTCGACCTAATTAAAGCGTTTAATATTTTTATTATTGTATTTGTATTTGTTCCCCAATTTTGATTTGATATAACTTTGATTATGTTTAACGCTTTCCTGGCGTCTTCTATGGTTTTTTTAATATGAGGGATCCAAGTCATCTTGTTGTCAAGTACAACTCCCAAATATTTGATTTGATTTGTGTGTTGGAGTACGATGTTATTGAGTTTAAGTGAGGGATTTCCAATGTTGCGTCTTCTAGAGAAAGTTATGCAGTGAGTTTTATTGGTCGAGAATTGTAATCCAGTACGGTCAGACCATTTTTCTAAGCGGTTAATAGCTTTTTGTAGGTACCTTTGAGTGTCTTCAAGATTTCTGTTAGAGGTGTAGATTATGAGGTCGTCCGCGTAGAGAGATGCTTGTACATTGTTCGGGATTTTGCCAATTATGTCGTTGATTGCGATTAGAAAAAGAGTCACGCTAATAACGGAGCCCTGAGGAATTCCGTTTTCTTGGATCAGTTCTCGAGATGTCGTATTTGCGAGACGCACGATGATGTTTCGTTCTTCGAGGAAATTTCTAATATATTGTACCATTCTTCCCCTAAATCCCCATTTTAGAAGAGTCTCTATTATTGTACGCCGCCAGATGGTATCATATGCTTTCTTGATGTCGAATAGCACGGCTGTCATATTTTCTTTTTTTATCAGAGCATGTTTAACTGCTACTTCAAGTTTGCTAATGCAGTCTAAGGTAGACCTGTTTTTCCTAAATCTATTTTGGTCGTCATTTATTAAGTGTAATTCTTCTAATTGTGTCGTAAGTCGATTGTTCACTATCTTTTCTAGTAGTTTGCAGACTACGGATGTTAGTGCTATAGGCCTGTAGCTATCTGGTTCATCTTTAGGCTTGTTAGGTTTTAATATTGGGATGATTATTGATTTCCTCCAGGAATGTATTCGTTTTCCAGATATGGTTAAACAATTTAGTTAGTTCTTGTTTAGTTGTTCTGGTGCTGTTACTTATCATACTATAGTGGATGTTATCAATACCTGGGCTGCTGTCTTTGCATTGGGAGATTGCATAGTCAAGCTCGTTTATATGGATGTCATTTTACAATATATGTTTGTTGAAACCTAAAGAAATTTGATCTACACACAATAAATGCCAAAAGGGAGATGCACCAATTAATAGGTAAATCTACATCTTGCGATTCGTAATAATTTGAAGTGAATTTTAGAGTATAGGTAGATGGATTCGAGTGGTGGAAAGCAGAGCTGGGCAGAATACTTTCAAAAAGTATTTGAATACTAAATCGTAAATACTTTACACAAATCAAAGGTATTTGAATACTAAATACTTTTACGTCCAGCACAAGCGAATACTAGATACAGATACATTGAAAAGTATTCAAATACTTAAAAAAATAAGTATTCAAATACTTTAGAATGTATTCGAATACTTTCAAAAGTATTCGTTATATACTTAAGATTACGTGTACCAGTTTTCAAAGCGATCGTACGTCGTGCACATGATACGTACGCCTTTCTGAAATTAATCCTAGCGATTTTGGAACAGATCCATTTTTGACCATCCGTTTGTCCGTGTTTAGAAACGTGCGATCGCTTTGAAAATTGGTACATATGGTCTTAAGGATATAAGAAAGGTCACCAAAATTAATAAGAAAAAGTGTTTTCCCGAGAAACTTTGGTGCAGTCGATTTTTGGTAAAAAAGGAAGGTTGTACACTGCCTATTTTTGAAGCCCGCAAAAAAATTGTCTCAGATCGACCCGGAAAAAACATTTTCTTATAGAAAGTGGCCTGTAGAATCCATAATTTCAAACAGTTCCAAGATTGGGCTACTAGTTCAAAAGTTACAGCCCTTTGAATTTTCTTTCGAAATTGGTTTCTTTTGATTGAGAAGTCTGATCGAAAAAGTACGAATTGTTTTGGATTCTACGCACCAAAATTAATAAGAAAAGGTGTTTTCCCGAGAAATTTTGGTGCAGTCGATTTTTGGTAAAAAAGGAAGGTTATACACTGCCTTTTTTTGAGGCCCGCAAAAAAAATTGTCTCAGATCGACCCGGAAAAAAATTTTTCTTATAGAATGTGGCCTGTAGAATCCATAATTTCAAACAGTTCCAAGATTTGGCTACTAGTTCAAAAGTTACAGCCCTTTGAATTTTCTTTCGAAATTGGTTTCTTTTCTAGTCTATAACTTTTGATTGCTCTACAAATCCTACATGAAATTGCACATTTTCAACTGCCCTTTAAGGAAAATTGAGTCGGACGTGGCTATTAAGTGCATAAATTGAAATGTTCCTGTGAAGGTAATTTCGTACGTGGCGACATCTCATTGGAACTGGTTCTACTATTAATTTTTGGCAAAAAAGGAAGGTAATACTTTTTTTGAGTCCCCAACAAAAATTTTTCTCAGATCGACCCGGAAAAAAAATTTTCTTATAGAATGTGGCCTGTAGAATCCATAATTTCAAACAGTTCCAAGATTGGGCTACTATTTCAAAAGTTACGGCTCTTTTAATTTTCTTTCGAAATTGGTTTCTAGTCTATAACTTTTGATTGAGAATTCTGATCGAAAAAGTACGATTTGTTTTGGATTCTATACGCACCAAAATTAATAAGAAAAAGTGTTTTCCCGAGAAATTTTGGAGTAGTCGATTTTTGGTATTCAAATACTATGCGAAGTATTCGAATACTAAATATTTGTGAAAGTATTTGAGTTACAAATACAAATACTGCTTCCATAAAAGTATTTAATTACAAAGTTTTTGAATACTTTAAACGATTTGAATACTAAAAAGTATTTACAAAATCGAATACTGCCCAGCTCTGGTTGAAAGGGAGAGTGGGAAAAACTTACCCGGGCAACGATGGGATTGTTTAGGTGTAGTTGACGTGAAGATCCAATTTGGCACCTACCGGAGACCCGAATTCAAATTGGCGAAATTTGATATAGGTACCCTTACTTTTTATTCAATAAGATAGATATAAGTCATTGAATGTAACGGGTGTCCCAAAATTAACGCAAGATTTGAATTTGCCGCCATTTGTGCGGTGAAGTGTTGGCAACCCTGAAAAAAAAAGCAATTTGACAGCTAACAGTATAGGGTTATTAAAAATGGAGCGTTACACGATAGAACAACGTGTCTTCATTATTAAAGAATATTTCAAAAATAGTGAAAGCTTGGTGGCTGCAGTTCGAAAATTTCATACAAAATATGGTCGGAATAGTGTTCACATTCGAACGGCTTGTTTTTGGACGACCAGTGTGTTTGGCGTCTCCAACGGATCCAGTCTCCATGAATTTTTCAATTAATCTCTTCACAGTTGACGAAGTTAAAACACTATTCCGATCATATTTTGTATGAAATTTTCGAACTGCAGCCGCCAAGCTTTCACTATTTTTGAAATAATGAAGACACGTTGTTCTATCGTGTAACGCTCCATTTTTAATAACCCTATACTGTTAGCTGTCAAATTGCTTTTTTTCAGGGTTGCCAACACTTCACCGCACAAATGGCGGCAAATTCAAATCTTGCGTTAATTTTGGGACACCCTTTATAAGTAGAGAATTTCAAGAGTTGCTATAGTTTCGGGATTTGGGTGTGGTGATCAACGTTTGGAATATCTAGGGGTTGTTTGCTACTTCACATATGAATCCCAGAATATTCACACAGGACGGAGAAATGGACGGGCGCAAACAACTTTAGTAGTAGTTGGTAGTATAGTCACCCTTGATGTTGTACACTTGGGTAGTAGGGGCAAGTCAAGGTAACAAAAAATATAGAATAGCTAGCCGAAAAATTAACAGTTTCTTTATACTTTCTGAAAAGTTTTTATTTCGTCTTTGGAAAAAATTCGTCACCAGTTCATAATCTAACGGCAAACAGCGATTGAATAATCAATTAAGCATTTTGACAGTGGCATTGCTGTTAGATATTGTTTTGTTGAAAAACGCCTAAGCTTTCATAAACCGTAAACAAAGTTGTCAACTCTTTCAGGTAACCCGAATTATTGAACGCATAATATCGAAAACCTTCTTCTCCTACTGAATTTAGAAAACTGTCGATACATGAATCTGGCCTATTCCCCGCTTTCATAAATGCTAAAGTGACCGCTGCGGTCACCACACCATAAAACGCTCTCGAACGAAAGTCTTCGAAGAACTCGTCCCATTTTGGTGGGACGGTCTTTGCGGACAACTTGAGTAAATAATGGATCAGTTTCTCATGGTAATGACGTAAAAGTTCGGTAGCTTTGTGCTTAGTTTGGAAATTCGGTCCCAGGACCAAAAAGTAGTGTAAATCAATGGATGGGCTTGAATAATACAAGGCCTGATAGTCTATCTAAAATAAAATAGCTCAATGGGCTACTAACGCTGTTCCACTCACAAATCGAACATCCTCAATGTGACCATTTGAATCGTGCAAGAACATGATGTTGTTGATCCAGAAATCTCCATGGTTTAAAACGTTGAAGTTTGTGCTAGGCTTATTGGCCGCCAGCAGATTACCCAAGAAGCCTTCCTGAAGGGGCGTCAATTTGGAAGTAAACTTCTTCAATTCTAGAATTTGAAGCAGTAAATCGTCTGGTAGTAAGTTAACATGGTTACCTGGCCATCTTTTGCATGTGTTAATGAGTTCTCGAAAACCGGTAGTCATAATAGCGTTCATACCATCCACATCAGCAAATAGTGCTTGATCAAATACATGCATAGATCTTGGATTCTAAAATTATTGATGATTGATATGACGTGGATAAGATACAAACCTTCTCGTGGAGTACAACGGACGTGGCGTGGAACGCTGCCAACCGATCCAGCACGAAATGACAGTGGTTGAGATCTAATCCCTCATCACGAGATGCCGTGCGATAATCGAGGGTTGACAAATCCTCAAGCAAAATTGTGGGTTTTGGGTCCGTGGAGATGGCGTATGGTTTTGGGGCAACGCACTCCAGACACCCTGCAATCACTCATTTATTCCGATGGTGAATACTTCTTTTGGTACAATACCAAAGCTGTACATTTCCCGTAAAGTACTGCTATACATCAACATTTCTCGTTTAAAGAATTTCATGTCTTCCGAAAACTTTATTAAGAAGCCGTCATCGGGTAGGCATTTAGCGACCAGCGACAATTTCTGCTCTTCCGTGCTAGTTTTAGACAGCATTAGCGAAAGATTAATTTCACAGTACAAACCTGGTAGGTATGGAGTAGCCAATGCTAATTCTGAGAAGGACACTGTTAAAATTTTCTCCTACCGGAATTGATTTTCTTGTAACCGTTGTAATTTTTGCGCCACTGCCCAAGTGGTTTTTTAGAAGGTCTTCCAAGAGTGACTCGTTAACAACGTCAAATTTCGAATCCATTTCGACAATGTAGAGGGAATTGAAATCGTCCTCTTTAAGTATATAAGGACACACTCTCACGTTGAACAAAGTAAGTACCTACGTGAGAGCTTTCCCATTCTGATGACGTGTTATGTGATAAATGCGATTAAATTGCTGTTGCAACATCATAATGTCAATTTCAGACGAAAAAATGTCCACACCATGCGACTGGCCGATTGACAAACAGTCCAAGTCAAAAAAAATTAGTAGCAATAATTTAACTAGCATTGTGCTGTTCTATGTGTCTTAGGATTAATATCTGATTAGGTGTTATTTTCGAAAATACGCTAAAAATTGACTAAGTAGTCTATAGAATCTGAAAAATTGTGAGACACCAGCGAATCTTGGAGCAATTTTTTAGGAGCTGAAGGAAGCGAATGATCGAGAAGCTGTGAAATGTTAATAATTTTAAGGTGGAGAATTTAAGAATCTCACGAATTGAAAGAACCTCTAGCATAGGTATAAAAAATGGGATAATGTTGAAACCCTGAAGACTGTAAAGAATCCGAGAGATCGATTCGGACCAACGAGAAAGCTCAAAAGCGTCTGAAGCTGATATTAAGGAATATAAAAAATGGCTGGAAACAGTTACAGCACATGAGAGTTGTTACTATTCAAATTCTCAGAAATTCTATAACGCCTACACCATTCAAACATTTCAAATTTAATTTATAGGCTAATTTATTATAAAAGTTATTTATGATTCAGTTTGCTACGTAGGTACGTTACGTAAACTTGTACTTTGGGAAACTATACGGATGTAGCACCTAAGACCCCTCTGATCATAATTCCTCTACCATAAAAGACTAAAAGCCATATTTCTAAAATATTTTTGATCACCAGGGCTGTATTCCAGTGGCGTTGCAAACCTGCGCTTTTGTAAATGGAACGCCCCATATATTTTATTGCAGATTTGGAAAGCACTTGAAAAGTATACTTATTTTCTTATGTTCACGTTATACTATATGCGAGCAAAAATGAGTTGCTGTCGAATTACCTTTGGAATTTTTGTTTACATGGGAAATGGTACTTTACTTGAACTTCCAAAGGCGACTCGACAGCAACTCATTTTTGATCGCCCGTTACCAACCCTTAAATTTAACGATTTAGCTGTTATATTTCCTCAAAATTTGACTAAGTTTTGAATTTAGGCACAGGCCAAGGCATCTTCTACTGTCCCATAATTTTTATCCCACGGATGACAACCGCCAAAATTTTTACGCAAAAAGGTTACTGTAATTAAAGAAAATATTGGTTGGATTAGGTTACACCACTAATATGTGTATCCATCCATTTTGTGATTTTTAAGGTGGATATTTGACTCAATTCGGTGTGTAGTAACGTTGCAGACTTATTCCGATAATCTACAGCTGCACAAACCAACACATTTTATAAAGAGTGGCAGCACGTCAAAATATACACACCGGAGATACAAGGTTAATAATGTATACATCTAGATATATTGTTAATACATCCGTTGCCAATGGCAACTTGCCTATTAAAAATATTTGAAATGGTAATAAACTCAGAGAAATTACGTATGCGCGACGCTTTATCATCTACTCATCATTGAAACAGGAAAACCCCAAAAAATGCCCCGGGTGAGGATCGGAGACTTACGCGCTACCGAGGCTGGTACAAATTTAAGGGGAGCCTAATTTTGCAATCATTTTTGATTGACAAAAGTTCTTACAAAATATTCAAAATAATTAGATTTTACTGTTAAATCACCATATTCAATTTTATATTCGACTATATAAAACCAGGTTCAAAGGTTTTCGCGAGCGAGCAGGTACTGTTGCGATCTCTGGAGTCTCCCAAAATAAAGTAATTAAAAATATAGCTTCGATGTACAACTTAAAACTCATTAATACAGTTAAAAACTGCAATAATAGAACCCTTGACCTAATTTTAACTAACTTAAACGCGGAAATTAAATTTGCTGTCGACTCACTGGATAAAATTAATCCACTTCATCCTGCACTAGAAATAGTTTACAAAGTTCATAGACCAGCTAAGCGAATTACTAAATTAACCAACTTCAATTTCAAAAAAGCAGATTTTCTTAAAATGTACGTCCTTTTTCGCGATATTAATTGGAAGGAGTCTCTTATCCTGAAGAATTTCAAATCGGTAGATGATGCAGTAACTAGCTTTAATCATATAATGAACATTTTCGATGAATGTGTCCCCAAAGTTACAATTAGGAGTGCCAATAAGTATCCTAGCTGGTTTAATATAGACATTATTAAGAAAATCAAACAGAAAAATAAGTTTCGGTTACATGACCAATCGGAAGACTTCGCTGAAGCCAGAAAAGAACTCAAAAGAATGATCCACATTGCTCATAAGAGGTACATTAATCAAATTGAAATGGATATGCGGAAGAATTTCAATAAATTCTGGAGCTACATCAAGTCGTTGAGGAAGAATAGTCAACTACCTGGAGTTTTTGAGTACAAAGACACCTCGTTAACGGACGCCAGAAGCATTGCGGACGCCTTTGCATCCTTCTTCGAGTCAGTCTACACTGTTGAGAGGAACGATAACCCGGAAGATGACGTGGAATCGGACCTGGTGTTATCCAAATTGCACTTCATTCAGATACATGAATCCGAGATACTGGAAGCAATTAAAAAATTGAAACCGAGGTCGACTATGGGCGAAGATGGAATCCCACCCTACATCGTGAAAGGATGTGCATCTTTATTGGTAACCCCCTTACTACATCTATTTAATTTAGCTTTGCAAACATGTACATTCCCTGAAGCTTGGAAATGCACCAGAATAACACCAATTCACAAAAGTGGAAGCCGAAAATTAGTTGAGAATTATCGCCCAATTGCAATTATACCAGCAATAGCGAAAATTTTCGAAAGAGTGATCTATACTAGACTTTATTCCCATCTCAGCAGTATAATTGCAGATCAACAGCACGGTTTCACGCGGAACAGATCAACGATTACCAATTTAATGCAGTTTACGCATTTCTCAGCAGCAGCCTTGGATGAGAGAGCCCAGGTAGACTGTGTTTATACAGATTTTGCGAAGGCATTTGACACAGTATCCCATCAAGTCTTGCTCCGTAAACTTGTTTTAAATTGCGTAAGTAATCCGACCGTCAAATTCCTGAAATCATATTTATCTCTCCGTAAAACAAGAGTGAAATTCAATGGTGTGAATTCAGCCGAATTTTATCCCTCATCAGGCGTTCCCCAGCAAACACTTCTTGGTCCTTTTCTGTTTCTCTTATATACATAAATGATTTACCGCGAGTGATAAAAAACTCGAAAGCACAACTATTTGCGGACGACCTAAAACTTTTTAGTAAAGTCCAATCCGCAAGTGACTGTTTAAATATTCAAGAGGACATTAACTCAGTAATTAAGTGGTGTATCAAAAATAAACTAAAACTAAACATCAATAAGTGTAAAGTCCTTACTTTTACTAGATCGAAAAATCCCTTACTTTTTGACTATAAGATGAATGGAAAGGTCTTACTACGAGTCACCTCCGTTAAGGACCTGGGCGTGTTTTTCAATACCAACCTTAACTTCAACTTACACATTGAAAACCTAACAAATGAGTGTTACAAACTTCTTGGTTTCGTTATCAGAAATACACTCAATTTCACGAATATACAGACAATGCTAACCTTATATAATGCGTTTATTAGATCCAAGCTTGAGTATGCTGCATGTATCTGGTCTCCTCAAACTCTCAAATACTCAGACATGATCGAAAAAGTGCAGAAAAAGTTCATCCGAGTAATGTTTTTTAGGTCAACTCAAAATTATCCACATTTGATCTCTTACGGTACCCAGTTTAATTACTTAAATAGTACTTTCGGCTTAAATATAACGAGGTTAGAAACCCGACGGTACATTGCCTCCACAATTTTTGTCTTCAAAATTTTACACAACTTGTTATACTCTTCCGAATTACTTTACTTCAAGAAGCTTAAGGTACCATTTGTTAAGCTAAGGCAAAATAATACTATTTTTGCAGTTAACAACACAACTTCCCCACTTATTAAGATCTTGATCACTTTAAATAAGTTGTCCTCAGTTAATGATATCGACTTTTTTCACGATCCCCTAAATTCAATAATAAATAAAGCATAACATTTTAGAGCTCGTTTAAATCACTAGGAATCTAAAATACACTGGGTCAACAATGTATAAATCCAATAATAATTAATTTGAGCGTATGCAAAAAAACGCTCGGGCCCCTCGATTGTTATGTTTTAATGTGAAGATAGATAATTTTCCCTTTTCAGAGTCATAATTATGGTCGGTAAATATTCTCGAAAGTGAGATCGACCAACGGCTAACGAAATTAGATGTAGATAGAGAAGTGGGTTGGTTAAAAGCTGCCAAAACATTCCACGTGCCCCATACAACGTTGAGACGACGCGCTAATGATATAAATGTTAGGGCTAAGGGTACCAGCTTGGGCGGTTTTCAAACACGTTTGATGAAGGAGCGACCACTACCAACAGCAGGGAATAGCGTATCAGTTTGCTATATAGCAAAAATGGTATTTCACGTCCATTGAAAAAGGCCGTGCCGATAAAGAGTGGCTCAGAGGATTTCGTAGAAATTATGTATAAAACTTGAGAAGAGAGTGTTTTGGAACTTTCGTTCAACTTAAGTTGAAAAACTCCACTTTTTTCTCTAGTCTCTAGTACCTTTTACAAATGAAACTCAAAAGTTAAAATTAATTGTAAGTGAAAGCTCTCAAATAGCTCGTAATTCATGCATAAAAATTAATTTGAAGGAAAGAAAAGCAAGGGAGAGGATAGGTCCAAGTGGACTTGGCCGCCCCAGTGATTATATCGTTTTTCTCTTTTTAAAGTGGCGCTTTGTAAATAAGCTCTTCAATATCTTTGATCCATTGATTCACACTAGTGGGGGAACAGGTCCAGCGGAGTGAAGATTTTTCATTGACATACGCAGTCGTTCACCTTTAATTAGCAC